GGAGGAAAGGGAACAAGCATCTATTAAGCCTCTACTATGTATGTGTCAGACACTGTGCTAAGCGTTTTACAAATAATAATTTTAGATAATATCATATAAAGAGTGAGGCTGGTTTCTAGGAACTCTCTAGGACCAAAATGGCACTGAGTCAGGAGAACAGGAGATCAGAGACCAGGGGCCAGGCATCAGGATGCTTGGTCACCAGATCTTTAGAAATATCACATGCCTTTAGTGTGTGACTGTATCCCAATCTTTGGGTGAGGAGAGAAGAGGGACTCCTAGTCTGATGATTTCTGTGTTTTTTTTTCATGCAAATGAACCTGATTTTTGGTGGTGGAGGCAGTTGAGGGGGGTGTGGGGCAGGGAGGAAGAGAAAGAAGGGACCAACCATAATCCCTGCTAGACTGGAGATGGTAGTAGTAGAGACTGTGAAGAAACATGCATGCCTCCCACAACAACAAAAATCACAGGATTAGGTAATGGACTTGTGATTTCATTGGCCCATTGAAGAAACTCTATTGATGCAGGTTGGTACCTTCTTTACTATTAGAGAGCTATGTAGAACACAGAGAATTTAAGGGATTTGTCCAAGGTCTTTCCTGGCTCCATCTAAAGCCAGCTCTGATCTATCAGAGGCTCGCTTTAGAATAGCTTCTGGTTTGCATTATTTATGTCAGGGTTTCCTAGATAAGACAGTCCTCCATAGAGTTTAGGAGAGACAACAGTAGTAGGTGACAGAGACGGAGGTCTATTTCACTGGGGCTTTGAAAGGGCATTTGGTGACCAATGCAGACCTCCAGGAGGGAAGGGGGACTGGGATGGGTTTGCTAATTGACCTTTCATCATTGTGGGGAGGGGGTAAGATCTTCAGTGACAGCGAGTTGGGAGCAGGTGGAGACTAAAAGGGTAGCCTGAGGGTCCCAGGAGTGTGGGAAGGGCAATGCTGATGGCCTGGGGTGATTTTTGCTGGGTCTTCCTTCCTCTTCCTTTGCTTTGCTCCCTTCCTAAAGGAAGCAAGGAGTAGTGGATAGACAGCTGGGCTTAAAAATCAGGAAGATCTGAGCTCAATGTCACCTCGGACGCTTTAATAGCTACGTGACCATGGGTAAATCACGCAACCTCTCTGTGCCACAGTAAAAAAACAAAAAACCGGAGTTTGAAAGGCCAGACTCTATGGCCTCAGTCCGTCTATCTAAGGGCCCTCCCAGCTCTAACTCCGGGATGTCCTTTCACTTCTAACCCTGCGCTCGGGGGACGTCTCTGCGGTCCTGGCCCCGGCTAGAGCCCTCGGTACCCATTCCCCTTGCCCTTGCCTCGGCGCCCCTCCTTCTCGCACCTGTCACCCCCATGCTGACTCCAGTGCCTGCCCCGAATCGGGGAGTGGGCTGGTAGCTGCTGCTTGCCCCTCCGCTTCCAGCGCGGTCTTTGAATCCCCGCCGCTGCCTCGGGGGGAGGAGCGGCGGGGAACCTGTGGCTTCACGGCTCACTGTGACGTCACACGGGCGGCTGGGGCCTGCGGGGGAAAGAGGCAGAAGGAGGTAGGGACGGCGGGGGCCCGGCCCTCTCTCCGCCACGCGCCCCTGGGGTGGAGGGAGCGAACCCCGGCCCGGTGGGAGGAGGAGAAGGAGGAGGAGGACAAGAGGAGGAGGAAGAGGAGGAGGAGGAAAAGAAGAGGAGGAGGAAGAGCAGAGGAGGAGGAGGAGGAAGAGGAGGAGCAGAGGAGGAAGAAGAGCAGAAGAGGAGGAGGAAGAGAAGAGGAAGAGGAGGAAGAGAAAAGGAGGAGGAAGAAGAGAAGAGGAGGAGGAGGAAGAGCAGAGGAGGAGGAGGAAGAGAAGAAGAGGAGGAGGAAGAGCAGACGAGGAGGAGGAAGAGAGGAGGAAGAGAAGAGGAGGAGGAGGAAGAGAAGAGGAGGAAGAGGAGGAAGAGAAGAGGAGGAAGAGGAGGAGGAGGATGCTTGGATGAAGGGGTGGCAGGCAGGGAAGGAGGGAGGTAACGGAGCCCTGGGGCTCCCCCAGACCTGTTTGACTTTCTCCTTCCCAACCTCAGTCTTTCTGGACCTCGGGTTGACGCATGCCCCTCCTCACAAGAAACACTGCTAGACGGAGGCTAGCTCCCTCGGGTGCTCGGCCCCACACGCTAGACTGCTCCCAGCGTCTGTGTTCTCTTCCAGGATCTCAAAGTACCCCAACAGACAGCTACCAACTCAGGGCTTCAGACGGTGGAATTAAGCCTGGTTTCAGTTGGGCTAGCCTTTTGCACCTTAGGGGCAGCTAAGTGGTGTGGTGGATAGTATTGTACCTATACTGAACCCAATTCTAATCCTGCCTCGGACACTAGCTGTGTGACCTTGGGCAAATCAAATCCTCTTTGATTCTGCCTCATCACCTGTGTGACCGACTCTTTCAGGGACCCCATTTGGGATTTTCCTGGCAAAGATACGAGATTGGTTCGCCATTTCCTTCTCTAGCTCATTTGACAGATGAGGAAACTGAGGCAAACAGGGTAAAGTGACTCGCCCAGGGTCACACAGCTAGCAAGTGTCAAGCTGGATTTGAACACAGGAAGATGAGTCTTCCCAGGCTTGGCAGACTCTGTGAACTATGGCGCCACCTAGCTGCCCCTATGTGACCTTAGGCAAGTCATTTAACCTCAGCCTGTTTCCTTATCTGTAAAATGGGGATAACAGCACTTCTCTCCCAAGGTTGTGTCAAAGGAGACACAGGAAGTGCTTTATAAACTTTAAAGGGCTAATAAATGCTATTATTTCTCCACCCACAAGCTCTTTTACTTCCTCTCTCCCTATTTTTGCACATGGAAACGTCCTCCACTTTTCCTTCCACTTCTCCTGTCCCTTGTCTGCCTTTCCTGTTTGGCACTGTGCTAACCTTCCACATAGAAAAGTCTCCTGATTCTCCCTCCATTGTTTCCATAGTACTGTAGATGGGCTGCTGCATTGTAGCATCTCTGTTCCTGTCCCCATCCCCTATGACCATCCTACACGGTTTCAGTCTCCATGGACAGGAAACAAAGGGTGTGTGTGTGTGTGTGTGTGTGTGAGAGAGAGAGAGAGAGAGAGAGAGAGAGAGAGAGAGAGAGAGATAGTGTGATGGACTTCCTGCCTGTTGTAGGCTTTAGCTATTCTGCTCAAAGGACAAAAACTAGCCTGGCAGGGTCCCTCCATACCCAGCTGCTTCATTTTCTATGGGAGTCAGTCATTTGAAGGACAAAGAAAGGGTTAAATATCTGTTTCCCTCCCCCACCCCCACCTCAATGTACCCTCGACTCCAGGACCCCCAAATGCTGCACTCATCAGCTCTTCTAGACATATTGGAAGGAGTGAACACACAAATACAGAGATGCCCAAAGATCTTCTCAAGTTGCTCACTGTCACACAGCTAGGGTCTCAGAGAGAATTGGAACCCAGGTCTTCCTGACTCCAGGTCCAGCACTCTGCCCCCAATGACACTCTCTCCAAGACTGGGTAAATCCTGGAACCTGGGGGCAGGATCCTCACTCATCCACTTGGTGTTTTAAGGGTCTCAGACTCAGCTTAAGTTCATCTTCCATTGACCCAATTGACCAAGAGAACTCAGGTCCTCTAGGAGGCCATTCTACTAGTCCAGCGGTTTCAGGCATTCTACCTACTGCCTACCTGGGTGGGGGTGAGGGGGTGGGGGGGGTCCTCAGGCTAACAGGAATTGAGGCAGGAGTGGTTGACTCCCAGTTCTAAGAAGATGTACAGCTAGCTCACTCAAGGACTCTGGGCCTCTGCCAGTTTTCCTCTGGTGGGTGGCTGTGGAGGTGGGAAATTTGTGTTGGGAGGTGTGTTCTGTAGCCCTTTCTGAGCCACTCCAGAACTTCCTTAATCCTGGATGCTCAGGACTGGGCTCAGTTTGGTTGAGAGGGCCAGTCATTAAGCCACTAGGTGTGCTGGTCCCATGTCAGCCCCCTCTCCTCCCAGTCTGGTTTTGGATGGTGTCCAGGGACTTCCCTGCTGCTGGGTGGAGCACCTGGCTTGGTTTGCGTGCATGGAGCTCTCCACTCTGTTGTAGAAGTTGGGGAGGGCACAACTTAAAGCCTCTGAAAACAGCCCTAGCATGAAATCAGGGAATAGTCTAGAAAGACTCCACCCAAAGGCCAAAGGACATTTCAGGTCAGCTGCCAAGAGGAGCAACAAGGCCTCACGTATAATTGAAGAGGAGACACTTGTTTAGGAAAATAATCATCATTCCAAACTTTATTTTTTTTAAAAAAGGCAACATTTACAATCCAACTCTGAAAAGTCAGTCCATCTTTGTCAGTACTGATGGTGGTGCAAGGAGGGACTTGTTCTCCAGTGTTTGGTGAGACATCTGTCCTTGGCTGGGCAGCTGTGGCTCCACCACAAGTGTCTATTGGCATTTGGGATTCTCAGTGGCTGCACTCAGGTGGAACGACTGGAGAAACCTGGGCCCTCACAACGTGTTTATGCCACCCTCCCCCCCCCGAAGCAACCATCTTAAGGGACCTTAAGATGTCCTTCACATGTCTGGACCATAGATTTAGAGCTGGAAGGGACCTTAGGCTGTCTTTTAGTCCAACTTCCTCTTTACAGATGAGGAGACTGAAGGTCAAAGAGCCTAAGGGACTTGCATGGGGTCATACAAGGGGCAGAGACAGAATTTGAAAACAGGTTGTTTGACTCCAGACTTTCCAGTGGAGCACGCTCCTGCTCATCCACACCCATCTGTCAAGCTTTGGTGCTCTCAGACCCTTAACCTTGATTCAGCTCAACTCCTATGCCCATGATGTCACGGAAAGTTCTGGTGGGAACACAGCCATGCCAGAGCCTTTAGAGGGGGCTCGGTATCCTCTGATGGACCCATCTGTAGAACGAAAAGACCCAAGGGAGGAGGCCAGGGCGAGAAGACTCCCATCCCAGATTAGCTAGGGGGCTGGTGATGTCACGACTGTCCCTCCTCCTAAATGTAAACAGTTCACAGTTGGCTTAATGCTGGCGAGGGTACAGTGATCAGAATGGGAAGGAGGCAGGAGCCAGAAGGTCAATGCTTAGGCTGTGCTCTGCCCCTGACAAAGGCAAAATTCTTTTTCAGCACCTCTCCCAGGCAGGTGGGGAATGGGGGGAAAAGTAGGTGGGAAATCTGAGTTCATTCTGCTTAGACTTTACAATCATCTGTTTATGTGTAAAAATAAAAGGCGGGGGACACAAGGAAAACAACTTGCCTTTAAAGTGGGCAGCGATGCTGCCAAAGTGCTTTGACAAAAAAGGATGCATGAGGACCCAAAGTGCTGCTGTCAGTGCTTGCAGGAACACGGACGTGATGTGGCCTCGGTCAGCCCATGCAGCCCAAGGCGCCTCAGTGCCTTGATCTGCCCCACTGGATCCCTGTTGAGTGGGACACTCGACATGTGAATGAAATCAAGGGTCTGAGGTTCTGGTCTGGCTGAACCTGGCAGCTAGAACCAATAAGAGCCGACGTTTTGCGGGGTACTTCACTTTGCAAAGTGCTTTCATACCAATTATCTCATTTTATCATAATCACACCCTTAGAAACGAAGGATTACTGCAACCACTTTTACATATGAGAAAACTAAGGGAGACTTGTGTGCCTAAGGGCCCAGAAGCATTGGTAGAGCTGGGAATAAAATGTGCTTCTCTCCCCATGCCCAGTCAGTCCTAATTCGGCTGTCCATGAAGAGAACTCTGAAACAGTCTGATGCTAACTCCTCTACCTGGGACAGTAAAGGACTTCTCAAACATGCTGTGACCAGAAGCTCTAGTTAGCCTGACTTCCAAGATGCGACGTAAGTGGGAAAGAGAAACTCACTGAGTAGGCTGTTGACCCACTGCCTACAGTACAGAAAACATGCATTAGGCATTGTGGGATTCAGACAAACTTGCTTCTATCAAGATTCATGTCACACAAATACCTTCTCAAATATATATGCCCCCCCCAAAAAATTGGAGAAGAGAATTCTAACGGGACATTTATGCCTCTACGGATTTTTTTCTTTGCATTTGAAAAGTCTCTCATTTTAAATAGAAGGAAGAGAAGACTTCATATCAAGGTCCTAATTACAGCATGAAGGTGAGCGGGTGGAATGCGGCCCAGCCAGAGGGGAGCAAAAAATGGACCGCCTCAGCCTCCTCATTAACTAAAGGAAGCGCCCCATCCTCCTCACCAGTTCCTGTAACTGCAAACAGGTGAGCACCTTCCGGAAAGCCATCCTGTTCACACCTACCTGCTGGAGGAAAGCAGGGCAAAGTGGCTGTCCCACATTTCCCTTCAACTCCAGATTCAAAGCTGATTTCTCCCTATTGCCGTAAAGTGATTCACTGCTGCTGAACATGCCACACCATCTTTTCTCTGCCAAGAGAGGGAACTCCTTTCTATTCCTAGGAAGGAAGATTTTAAATGTCTTCCTCCTCCACACAGAGCAAGGCCCATACCAGTTCACGTAGTCAGGACTCAAGTGAAGATGACTACACATAGACATAGACACAGACACAGACACAGACACACACCCACACCCACACACCCACACACACACATACACACACACACACCCCATTTCTCCATTACACTGGTGGACTGCTGGGTGGACCATCACAAGTTTCCAAGTCCCAGCTTTCTGGTTTCCAACCTTCTTCCCTACTGCCAGATGCCAAATCTCTTGGAGAAGGCCAAGTCCACTTGCTGTCCTCTTCGGGTAGAACCAAAAGCTGGTACATATTCCAGGACCTCCAAGGCTGATTGCTAGCATCCCAAGCTCTGGGGCTGGAAGGCCGGGAGGCTAGGGCCTATTCTCCAGTTGACCATGCTTGACTCTCCAGGTCCAACTGAAGCTGCAGTCGGGAGCCAGGGTGCACTGAAGGTCGATGCCCGAGTCAGGTACCTCCATGTCATAGTGTACAGGCTGCCCGTCCTTGGTCACCAGGCTGAATGCAGAGGCAGGGATCTGGGAATCGGAGTACAGGACAGAGCAGGCTCAGAAGGGGAATTCAGTAGTTAAAGCAAGCCAAGCTATCTTATGCCACCACTAAGAATCAAAAACTCTTGTGAAGCTAGGCTTTTCCTTACAACAAGTCTGGCATTCCTCTTGCTCTCATTAAGCTCAGGAAGTCTTTGGTCCATCCTCCTATACTTTCCCATCTCTGGCACCCCACATCATGCCTGAGCCAGGTACTTCATGGGGCTCCCACTTCTTCTGATTTATGACCCTGCTCCCTGAGGTGGTCTCTGCCATCTTACCTGGCTGCTGATTCCCGTGGCGATGTCTCCCACCTTGGCTCGGTGGAACTCTCGTATATGCAGGTGCTCACCGTTTAGAGACTGGATTTGGATTTTCACACCTGAAAGACAGGTGTGACCATGAGCAGGAGAGAAGTTCCAAGATGTGGGATCCTTAAAGCTGGGGGACAGTGGCGGGGGGGGGCGGGGAATAGGGTTGGAGCCTTCTGTCAAGGTTACTTTGTAATCACCTATGGGCTCCCACTCCTCTGAAGGAAAGAGGAAATTTATTTTTTGTCATCGAAGAAAACTGAAGAGATTATGCCTAAAGCTATGTGACCATTTTCCCCCCAGAAGTTTTCTTCTGATATGTGGCTCTCAAATGTGAAGGGCCACAACTGGCTTTTAGGATGTTACAGGCACAGAATTTTGATGCAGGTTAGCATGGCTGTTAAAAACAAAAACAAAAACCAACCCAACAGCTATTAATCAGGTTGTGGGCAGCTAAGAATTTAAAAATACAACTCATTGTATTGGAGCCTTATTTGACCACTGTATTATCCAATGTATCATCAGTATGCCACTGGTAACCAGGAAAGGCTGGGGAAATTTTTTATGTGATGATGGGAGTTTCTGAGTCTATTTGCAAAGCCACAAAACCAGGCTTGTGAGCCAAGTTTCAAAATAAGGCCATTTTCTCCTCCCCTTCCTCCCTTCCCCCGCGGTCTGGTATCATCACCCTGAGGATTCCAGGGCCAAGGCACAACCGCAGAGTGCCCTGGATTATGGTAGCCACAGAGGAATTACTGAGTTCTGGGTCGACACATCCCAAGGGGCCTGTTTTCTCCTCTTCCCATTCAGCTGATAAAATGAATTTGTTTTCTATTTTTGGCTCCCTTCTAGGGTGGAAGACATTGTCTGCTTATCTAAGTCACATAGGGTCCTTCCAATACCCTAAAAAGTCCAGAAGTCAGAAAATGTTGAGGACAAGATTTTTCCCACTGCCCTACTGCAAAAAGCCATAGATGGGAGAAGGATTTTCATCCAGGACCCTATTTGCTGAATAGGTGAGTCAAGTACTGAAAAATCCTCCTGGTATGAGCTAACGGAGAAGAAAAAATGAACAACTTAATGTTCTTGTACAGACCAAATGTTATTTTACAGATACAGGGCCAGGGGAGCCTGAGCTAGGTGGGCAACTGATCCTACCATTGAAATAGCTGGGCGTGTCTGTGTGCCGGCTTCGCCCCAGTAGGTTGTTCCAGCTGAAACTCTGCCCATCTGCCTGACTGTTCCACGAGTGGATTCCAGAGCTGAAGTTCTCTCGTAAGCTCTGAGAAACCTTGGACAGGTTCTGAAATCAAAAGGGGACAAAGTCAGCCCGCTTATTCCCAGTCTTGCGATTCCAACCCAGGGCTGAGGCTAATTTCCTGTCGGTCACATTTTGGGAAAAGGTGCCACCTTCCTTCTCAAATTGGTAGAGAAACAGTTAAAATTCCATATAGGATCATTGGTCCAGGTTGACACTCTTACAATCTTGAGAGATTTGAGCAGGGGCTCATGAAGGGCCTAACATAAAAGGGAAAGCAAATCATTTGAATGAGGGCCAATATGCCAATTAATTCTGCCATGTCCTGCGGTTATTTAGACCCACTTCTATATCAGCTGAAGCTGGATTGTTTTCTCCATTAAAAAGTCTCCCTAAGAGATGCTGTCCTCTGATTACTAAAGGAAAGGAGGTAGACAAAACTGAGGCAAGGAAATCTGCTTGCTTTTTCTCCTACTCACACACACAGACCATTCACCAGCCCCTACAAGTATCAACCACCTAGTTTCCCAATATGAACCCATCCTATGGAGATACAGACGGTGTGCATTAATCAATACCCCCAGAGCTATCCTTGGGAAATGAGTTATTTACCTTCTCACCAGCATCAGATAGGGAGAGGCTGTCAATGCTGAGACATGACAGCATCTGCTCCTGCTCCTCTAGGGAGTATGGCTGAGACAGGCTGTTCAGAAATAATTCTGCAAGAAAAAAACAGGACACGAGATAAGACCCTAGCAGTGGACTGACTCCCCCACCCAGCTACAGAGAACAGAGGGGCTCGAGGCAAAGCAGGGAGTCTCATTGGAGAAGAGAACCCACAAAACACAAAGCTTAAGAAGGAAGAACAGGCCACCACAGAGCTAGGTCCTCTCAGTGACCAGGCCTAGACTGTTTCACGAGAAGCTCATTACCTATCTCAAGCTGCTGGAGTTCCTCATCTGAAGAGGTTGATTTTCGCTCCCCTGAACTGCAGCTCTTGGTGGGGACGTGGCCCAGGGAAGAAAGGGGCAGAGGCTCCCAGGTCCCAGACTCCTCCTGGCTCAGCCTCAGGGGCAACAGCTTATTTCGCTCTGGTGGCTCTGGTGGTAAAGGTGGCTGAAGTTTGGTGGTCAAACCCACTGCCTCAATGGCCAGCCCAGGCCCTGGAGCCTCTGGGATGGGCCCACTTGGCAAAGACAACGATTCCAGTATTTCTAGACTATTCTCTTTGTTTGAAGGCAACTGTCTTGGTTCCTTATATTGTCCTCTCCAAGGACTTTTCAAACCTCCCACTATAAAACACAAAGGATACACAGGTTAAACATTTTAGGGAGGATAGATGCTGTTTGCACCACATCTACTTTTCTATGGGTCCTGAGGTGCCTGGAAATGGGATATTGACGAAGAAGTTTCATATTGGGTGAGCTAGTGAACAGGCTAATGAAGAGACAAAGAAAGGCTCCTAGGGAAGGGAATAGGGATAGTTTCCTGAGTTTGGGGGATGCTTCAGAGACATAAATCTATCTAGTAATGATAACAATCCATTTCTTTTATTCTACTTTTAATATTGGTAACTGTGATTAAGAAGCTGCAAAACAGACCAGGAAGAATGTCTCAGTTAATAGCAAAGAGAAGATTCTGAAACCAGGGACTAGAGAAGAAAATTTCCCTGCAATGGAAGCAATCCAGGGACCCCATTTTAGATTCCAAGAGTAAACTAGTGTTTCCTTGCTCCAAAAGCTCCCTTGTACCCAGTCAGTGCTCCCCGGGAGGGTGGGCCCACAGGATGCTCTACTTGTGGACGAGGTCAATAGCACAGTTTGGAAGTCCTGTCTGTTTTGTCAAATGGATCTCAGAGGCCCCCTGACTTGGGGAGGAAATAGCTCAGTCGGAGAAGTGGTATTAAGTTCCTTACCATGCTGCAATGCCAGACAGATTTTCCTCCTCAGCTCTGTGGCTGATGCCCTCTGGACAGGCTCCTTCTCCAGGCCCTCCTGGATGGCCTGAGCAGTAAGAGGGGTACAAGAGGGCGGAATCTCTCTCACAGGTGGTGGCTCATTGGCAATCTGTGAGATTCAGAAAGAAGAGTGGGTGGCCTTTGCCTTGAGAAATAAATTCTATATATTCCATTTTCTCTTCCTTCTAAGCACTTTGTTTTGGAGTTAAAATGTCAAAAATTAGGCTCTAGCCTGGGACCTTGAAGGTACAAGCAATGGCTTGGCTTAGGGACTCTAGCAAAAAGGAGAACAACATTAGGTGGGGGTAGCAAGAGTCAGGCAGCAGGAAGCTGGAGGTCCTTGAGACTTGAACCCATCAGGGCACAAGGGTGTGGTGGGAGGGGAATCCCTGACCCACCCAGGCAACTCCTGGATGGGCTAATCATCACTCACCTTGAGGCAGAGAGGCCGACTATAATAGTGGGTCCAAGGGTGACGCCCATTGAGCATGTGCAGCATCATGCAGCAGCTGCTCCAAATGTCTACCTTGGAGTCACAGCGTTTTCCCATCACCACTTCTGGAGCCATGTGGGTCTCTGTGCCAGGGATGTAGTTCCCTACAAAAGCAAAGGTAAAAACATTTCTTGAAATTCTAGCAAGCAGGAGGCTGGGGGATAACCACCCACTGATCTCCCATGGCCCCTTCCAAAGTCACTTTGTAAAGGAAATTTAAAGATACAAGTCTTCCAAATGAAATTCATAGTTGATGGACCAAATTGGTGAAAACATGTACAATACAATCTGTTCTAGGAACTGGTGAAATTATGTCTATAATGGTCCTTGACTTCTGTACTAAGCTTCATCTTTAATGTGCTTTTTAAGGGTGTGGGTCTGTGTGAGAGTCAGACAATGAAAATAAATTTATACTTAGAATCCCCAACATGACTTTCTCAATAAGAAAGGATCAGATATAACTAACAGTTTGTTTTTGATTCAGTCAAAATCAATACATTTTAAAATCCAGGGACTGGGTGAACAGAAAGATGTCTTCAAGCACGTCAGTCCAAAATGGTAGTTTTGTTGACACTATTGGCCACTCAGTTAACTAGTGGCCACAAAAATAGGGTTAATCCAAGAACCCTGATAGATTCTGAATCTAGGAGACAGACCTTACCTGTAAGAAAGGACTTTCCCAAGCCATCAGGCTGCAAATTGGTGGAATGGCCAAAGTCACAGAGGAGCGCCCGGCTGCCATCACCAGACAAGAGAACATTGTCAGCTGTTGGGAGCCCAGAGGTAGAAGATGAGGATCAGGAAGGGGAGTGATGCTGCTTTACATGCCACCCCCAGCTTAGCCTGGTCTGGTCCTCAATGAGTCCATGTTCTGGCTAACTCAGAACAGCTGTGGATGTTTCTAATTAATTTCATTACTCATAAATGGGAGAGGGTTACAGCTCACACTGGAATTGGATTCAAACTCTGTAAACTTCCCTCCCAAAGTTCAGTTAACTCTGTCATTCATTCCACTCCTGGCTACTTCCAGTCTCTTCAGTGCAGGAGGTATTGGTCAATTTGGCACACATATGCCAATAAGGAAAGGCTGGCCTTCAGGGAAGGAAGTGGAAAAGGGTGCCCAAGATGCCCATTTTGGTGGCACTGCCTCCAGAATTCTGTTCTGTTAAAGTACATTTTTAGCATTCCCAAATCTAGTTCTGGAATTATAGACATTAGGATGACTACTGTCAGTTCTCCAACAATACCAATTACTACAAATTACAATGCTCAAGAATCAAAAGCATTGAAAACATATTTTCCCTTTGACTAGAGAATAGATTCTTAACCTTTTTGGGGTCAATAATTCTATATCCTTCTGTCTGTTAATCATTTCCTATTCATCCTGTGTGTAGCTTGCTTTGTATATATTTATTTGCATGTTGTCTACCCCATTAGATTGTAAGCTTCCTGAAGGCAGGGGCGGTCTTTTGCTTCTTTTTGTATCCCTAACACTTATCACAGTGCCTAGCACATAGTAGATGCTTAATAGATATTGGTGGATTGTCATGGGCCCCTTTGACTGTCTAGTGAAACCTATGGATTTCTTCTCAGAATAATGTTTTTAAATACATCAAATAAAATCCATGGAATTACAAAAGAAACACATTCTACTGAAATAGCTATAAAACATTAAAAAAAAAAAGTTCACAGACCCCAGGTTAAGAACCTCTGGACTAGAGGATGATTGGGAAGGAAGAAAAGACTAGGAAGACTAATCATCCAGCAAGATGGAGTCAAGGAACTTGTGGTCAAAGGTCACCTTTCACATCTCCATGAAGAATCCTTCGTGTATGGAGATATTCCAGCCCTTCCAAGGCTTGTCCCAAATAATAAAGGGCTCGGTCTTCAGGTAGACAGCCTTTCTGTTTTATCAGCTGACCCAGTGAGCCACCTAAAAGGGAAAAAAAATAGTTCTAGTCTTTAGATTGTCATGTTCAAGAATAACACTGTTCTCCTAGATCCTCCCCCTATTGAATTACAGTCTTAGCTGCTCATCAAGAAGAGTACCTAAGTAGAGTAGCAACAATCAGGAGCTAATCAAAGCAATTCCCCCCAGAGGTAGGGAGAACTGAGAGAGCTGAGAGAAGTCCTCACTTCTGAGAGGCAAAGACAGATGTATCCTGTAGAAGGAAGGGCCTCAGCCATTGTTTCTTACCTTCCATCAGCTCCATGAAGATGTTGATCCAAGGACCTTCCTTCACAGCACCATACAAAGGGACAAAGTTGGGTGACGTCAGTCCAGCACATGCCGTTAACTCTTCTGCACGAAAAACTCCGACATGCACCTGAAAGGAACCAGAAGGGGGAGACAAAAATCAGTTGGTAACTTCAATCTATCAGAGTGGACAACAGAAGGTGGTTTATTTGGCATCCTTTCAACCAGAAATTTCTGTCCCCTTCTGGTACAATGCTATTTGTTTGTTTGTGATGATAACCCTGAGGCACTGCAAGAGCATAGAGTATTTTGTAAGTTATTCATGACTCAATTACAGTCAAGGTTTTATTGTTAGGTGTGTTTTATTTTATTGAATTTTACCCCAAACTGGCAATCCATATTTGTAGTACACATAGCTCATTATTAACCATGGTATCTCAACACTATCTACCAATCATTCTGGATAACAATAATTTGTTGTATTTATTCAACATCCAATCTCTCTTGGCATTTTGCTGAGCACTGAACAGATCTAATTGAGAAAAAAAGAACATGGTCCTTCTTCATCCCAGGGTGCAGAGAGGAAGAGGAGGCACAGTAGGGGTGGTTACGAGGCTCTATCTAAATTGATGGTAGCTCTTATAAAATCAGCCTTCAGCCTGCTAGCATTTGGGTCTCTTTTTATTACACAACCTGGGTTTCCATTCAGATTACTGGTCAGATTTCCTTGGTCACCTGTGCTTTGGACTTCTGTTAAAAGGAACCTACAAGGTCACAGACCCAAGCTCTGAAATGCTCTGCACACCTTTTCCCTGTCCAATCAGAACCTCTGCTCTGGTTCTTGTTGATCTCAGAATAAAGCACTGTTAAGCCCAGCAGAGGGCACCAGTGTAGCAGCACTCCCCTCCCCCAAGGGACCCCAAGGGATCTACCACATGCTTTCTTAGTGATTTAGTAGAGCAGGGTAATGTTCCTGGAACAGCTAATCTAGCATAATAGAAGCTTTGATTGCATGGGAAACTTTGCATGTGCTGCCTCTCCGTGGAAAATGTAGCTTTTCTAGTTATAAACAATGTAGTGGATGGCTTAGTAAAAAAGTTTAAGAACTTGCTCAAAATTTTTTTTTAAATTATCTGCCTTCCCACCTCTAAGATCCTTAACCAAGTGGCAATAGGATGAAAATCTCTCCATTACTATGAAAAATGCAAACCTGAAAGGTGTTTTTAATATTTCAAAAGATTTATAGGTATAACATATAACTTAACCATGCAATGTTTCAGACCTGGAGATTTGCGTGTTTATGAATGCATGGGGCTATGCTGGGCACCAGACAAAGCAAGTTAGAGACATTCTCTGCTCTTAAGGAGCTAACACTGAGCCTATGGCATGATGAAGTGAGTTAGCTAAGATCTCACCATTACAAATTTGTTGGTTGTTTTTTAGCTGTGTCCAACTCTTTGTGACCCCATCTGGGGTTTTCTTGGCAGATACTGGAGTGGTTTGCCACTTCCTTCAAGTCATTTTATAGATGAGGAAACTGAGGCAAACAGAGTTAAGTGACTTGTTGAGGGTCACAAAGCTAGTGAGTGACTGAGGTCGGATTTGAACTCACGTCTTCCTGCCTCCAGGCCTGGCACTCTATCCGTTGTGCCACCTAGCTGCCCTTCACAAACCTGTGGCAAATCTAATACAGGTCCTCTGACACCCCTGAGTTGTTCTGACCACTGATGCAGGATTTTCAATACTGGTAAACACTTGCCATATGCGGTGAATCAGTGACTCTAACGGTCTAGAAGGAGAAGCAACAAGTGCTGGCGTCATCATGCGGTATCTGTACTTCTGTGTTCCCCCCCAGAACTCGGAAGCATCCCTTTCCTGGTTTTTCTGACACCCATAATGTGCTGCCTCGACCCCTGATCCTCCCAGATAACTCCCATGCCCGATAACTTCTTGAGGCCCTTGGGGGGAAGGAAAACATAAAGTTTTATTCCTCAATACTGAACCCACGTATGCCAGCCTCCTCTTCTGTCCTGTTACAAGAACAACAGAGTGGTCTAGTGAACTGCTTTGCCAGCTACTTCTGGGGATCAGAACTGAATTAAGCGTTGAAGAGATTTGGGTGGGGAGGCACTGAGATCAGCCAGCCCAGGCAGTCTTCAACAAGTGATCTGGTGCTGGGAAGTCTAAATGTGCTTTGGTTTGAGGTATCTGTATTGGCTTTGGGGGAAGGGAGAGATTCCCTATTTTTCTACTCCACTGTTGTTTTTGTTGCCGAGGAGTCAGAACTGTAGTATGAGAACAGCTGAGAAGTCTGGTGGTAACATCCCTCAGTACTCAAGTGTTCATTTGCAATCCACTTTACAAACTTTAAACTTCCCATCCCCCTGCTGGGTGAAATGGCTGAGTGTTTTTTATGACTGAGTGGCAAACTTGAGCAGAGAAGGTCAGGCATTTGGCCCTAGACTCTAAGCAGAAGATGATGACCAATGCTGGCGAAAACTTGACGGGAGAGAGGGTGGAGGCGCTCAGTTATTAAACTGATGCAGTATTTCTGCAGGTTCAGTTAACAGTGCGGTCAGTCAGTTTTCCATAAAAGGAGAGGGTTAGATTAAAATTCTAGCCTAGGCGAGAGGAGCAAGGTACGTAGTAGGATTGCAGTCACTTCTCCAACAGTATGGCTCACTCCCAAATACATCAGCTAGAGATGGAAGCTGGGGGGGGGGGTGGTGCAGCAGCACAGGGCATTGAAAATATACGTCTGCTTGTTAGATGATCACCAAGGCCCTTTCCAGCTGTAACAATCTACGAGTGTGACGTGATACACCAAACTCCATGGCTGTGCCTGGCCCAACAGAACACACCACACCCTTACTCAGGCTAGATTTTAGATTTATACAGCTAATGCCACGTCAACCACACCTTACAAACCATATGATGCTTTCTGTTTTTCACTCGGCCCAAACACAATACTCAGAGCCAGTTATTAGATCCCTTTTGTTCTATGTTGGTCAGCTTATGTCTTTGAATCTAAGATGTTTTCATTTTTTAAGTTCGTTTTACCCTGCATCAAAGAGGTGACATTAGTCTGTTCTAACTTTTGCCTCCAAATCCCTCAGCTGCTGTCACCAAGAAGAGAGGTCAAGAGGAGAAGCCAGGTAGTGCCCAACTCATATGAGCTGTGTGCTAGAAGGCAGAAGAGGGGGCAGCTGAATCAGGCAGGGTAGAGCAAGGACAAGGCTGGGCACAAGGCAAGGAAGGGTCAATAAGGAGCAAGGCTAATACGCTTAGGCTCCTGCCACTGACTCATATCTTTTCCTGCTCAGCCTCATAATAATGTATCAGAGAAAAAGCCCTAGCTGGGCAGTCAGGAAATCTGGGTACTGGTTAAGTACAGGGAAGATAAGGAAAACAGTGCTATCCACTTGAGTGGCCAGTACTCTGGGACATCAGTGTAGAGAAATGCTTTGTATCACAGTGGTCAGGGACCCAGGCCAGGAGTGAGAAAGACTTGAGTGAAGGTCCTGCCTCAGGCCTATGCTGGCAAGCCTTTTTTTTTTTTCTTTTAAAGGCAATTGGGGTTAAGTGACTTGCCCAGGGTCACATAGCTAGTAGGTGTCAAGTGTTTGGTCTGAGGCCAGATTTGAACTCAGGTCCTCCTGACTTCAGGCCTGGTGCTCTACCTACTGTGCCACCTAGCTGCCCCTATCTACACTGATATCAATTAATCAACAAATATTTATTAAATGACTATCATGTGCCAGGTATGTTAAACTCAGGGGATACAAGTACACAGAACGAGCTTACATTCTAATGGTGGAGACCGCACATAGATATAAAAAAATATATATAGTGTAAATATAGTTAATAAATACACATACAACGTAGTTAAATACAGGCCTGTTTGGGAGGGAGGGCACCAACATTTGGGGGACTGCAGAAGGTTTCATGCAGAAGATGGTGCCTGAGTGGCATCTTAAAGGAAAAGAGAGAATCTTATGAGATAATGGTTAGGGAGAGAGTGAATTCCAGGCCTGGGGGATGGCCAGGGCAAAGGCATGGAGATCAGAAATGGAGAGTCACGAGTGAGGCTGTTTCCCTGGATCAGAGTGTAGGAGGGTTAGTAATGTCCAATGAGGCTAGAAAGGCTTGAACTCACCAAGAGTTCCCCACAGGGATGAAACCATAGGTCTGTGTTCCTACTCCTCTCTGCCCCCCCCACCCCCAACCCAGAAAAGAGCCTGAATGTTGGGGTAGAAATAACGAAGGAACTTCAGTGTTCCAGGACCGGCTGTGACCCTGCCTTTTCACCTTAGAAAAGGCACTTCACTCTTCTGGTCTTCAACTCCAAATGACTGTTGCTCCAGAGCCAGAAGGGGCCTCAGAGACCCTCATTTGACAGACGAAGGCCCCAAAGCCCAAGCACGTTAGTTATGTAGGTTACAGGCAGAATCTGAACCCAGGTCTTCAGACTCTAGATTAGTGAGTTTTTCCACTCAGCCACAATGCTCCACTCATCTTTAAAATGAGAAGGTTAGATGAGATATTTTGCTAAGTTCTTTTCAGCTGCAAAATTCTGGAATTCTTTCTTCTCCTCCTAGTTTATCTCATTTTGACATCACCCCTTTCTCCTGCTGGGGAGATTCTCTCTAGATTCTGGCCCACACGGAATCATGTTTGACTGACTGCAGCCTTTGTAGTGGCCTAATACCCTGGGTCCCCCGCAGGGGAGCCTCAAACATGAACACGAGGATCCCTGCATTTTTGTACCATACATAAACGCATATACACATACATATACTAACAAAAATACAGTTCCTGCTCTGGGTTGTGGGAGAATGGGTGCTTTCCTCTCAGCCTGACCAAAGCAGACAGCACCAGCAGCAGGCCTCTGTGACACGCCAGACCCAAAGCTGCTCGGCGATCGTCCTTGAAAGAAAGCAAGGAAGGAACACAGCTGGAAGTCCGCCTGGCTCCCCACGTGACTGGCTGCCCTGCTTATCCTCAAGAGCCCCTGCATACCTTTTTGACAGCACACTGAAACCCTGTCTGCTTGTCTTCCATTCTGTACACCTCCCCAAAGGAACCTCTGCCCAGGCAGTCTTGGCTCTTGGTCCAGTGAACTTCTTCTTGGTATTCGTAATCCACTGGTTTGAGTTTCTAAGGAGAGACACACTAGAATCAAAGGCCAGGAATCCAAGCCCTAAATGGCGTATGGACAAAGGACTGAAGCAGGAAAGTGTTTTCTAAGCTATCGTTTTTGGTGGCACTCCCTCAGCCCTGATGTTTCTGACCCAGACTCAGCAAGTTAAGTGTTGAGCTGCTTCCATCCCAAAGTGACCTGGAGCCTCTGAGCTGTGCAAGTCAGGCTGTTGTGAAGAAAAAGTCTCCAAATTAATACCAGAGTGTCCACTGCTCAAACCACCTGAGGTTGGTGACTAACTGGCCTGCTCACCAGAATGGCAGTCATGGACACAAGGTCAGAAGCACACTGTAACAGGCTCTAACACGGGATAATTCTAAATGCAGTACCAGCTTAGCATTTTGGACAGCCTAGTTGTGGCAATTCAATTTCATTTATGAAAAAAAAATTTTTTTTCAACAATGGGAAACTAGAAAACGGTCTTTCAGGTTTTCTAAGGCTCCTATCCTTCCCAGCCCCAGCCCCAGCCCCATGTTGCCTGGAGGGGATTCTTGTTTTAGCTCTGGGTAGTTGTCCCCACCTGCCCTGAGGAGTGCTCTTGCTGGGTTACCTCAGTGAGCAGGACGCCTTCGTTTTCTTCTGTCTCCGGTACTGGGCCTCGGTGACCTGTCCCTCCTCCTCGCCAGGTCTTGGCAAGGCTGGTGAGGTTCCTGGGCTCACCCACACTCACACTCCCTTTCAGGGCATGCACGAGATATTCCTCCACGGAAAGCTTCTCAGAGGTGCCATGCTTTGGACAGGGTGTTTCCAGGCCTAAGCCAGACAGGTGGCGCTGGCTATCTACACGGGCCAAGTTGCCCAGCAAGAAGGTCCCCAACGGTCTGGGCTTTTGAACGAGAAGTGGGGAGAAGGGGAAAGGATGGGGCAATTTCTTGTAGGGGGAAGAGCGCAGTAGGTCTGGTTGGGGGATGAAGTCCTTGGGGTGATGAAGTTTCCACACGTGGTTCAGGCACTGCACTGGGCTGATCAGTTTATGGAGTTCAGCTCGAGGGTGTGTTTTCAGTGCTGAATGCAGGCCTACTCCAACCTTCTCAAAAACCAATGGGCTGTGGCGCATCTCTTTTGGACGGTTGGAGAACTGAGGGACATTGCTGAAATATGGGCCTGAGGACTCATCCTCCTAGTGGGAAAACATGAGCATTAGGGCAGAGCCTCAAGTGAGAACTATCACTCAACACCCTGTCTGTCCTCCGCCATCCCACCTCCAACTGGCAGAGGCCATACACAAGGAGCCACAGGGCAGAGCTTAGCTTGCTCACCTGTACAGGGATCATGCAGGTTTCTTGCTCAGGAGTTTTGGGGAGAGGCTTGGCCAAGGGTCCACCCCTCTGGCCTAGCACCTTGGAACTTTTCTTCTTTCGTTTCTTCCCAGCCTTGTTTCGACGCTTTGCCTTCCAACAGGCAGGGGTCATTTTCCCCTCCGTTGCATGGGCGACATTGTTGGGGATTTGGTCTAGACTATCAGATCGGCTGTCAAAGGGAGAGATGCTCTGTTTCAATAGGCACGTGCAAGTGCCTCCTGGAAGCTCTCTCTCTGCCCTCCATCCCCTGTACCCATCTCATCCAAAGGGATCATCGCAGGGATGGTTAAGAACAAGCAGGTGAGAAACAGAGAGGGGTCAAACACCAGGGAGGGAGGGCTCCAGACTCATCCAAGGTTTGTTTTGGTCACTTCCTGAAGGAGGATTTTAGAGGAACATTTTGCTGCTGCTGAAGGCCTCCCCTCCCTATCTCCAATTCATTCTTAGAGGAATGTGAGATTTGTTGACAAGATTTGTGACAAGATTTGAGCAGCTCCACATTAATACCAGAATGTCTGTTACTTAAACCTCTTGAGGCTAGTGCCTAACTGGCCTGGCTGGCAGTGACCTCTTCTGCCTAGGAACTCTGGGAGCATGTTTAAATCCCATCCCAACACTTCCCAGAGGAGACAGGCATGTAGTTTGGACACTGAACAAACAAGTGTCTTCTAAGCAGGGCTGGCAATTTAGGAACACTTCTCTGAGGTCTTATGTCAGGTGTCAGCAGAGATGTCTACCAGCACCGCCCCCCCCCATGACAAAGGCATCAAAGGTGGAGGGAAACAAAGTGAATTAATGCCTAAGGAGAAAGAAACCTCTAGCTTGCAAGACATAGAAGCATCTATCCATGAGCTGTGGGAAGCATCTGAAAAAACTTATTTTGTTAACAGAAAAGCTGGGCCGGCAAGCTTTGTCTGATTTCAGAAGCCATTCCCCAAGAAGTGAAGAGGGGAGTTGCTTGGGTTCAGTTAGTAGGGCAAAAGAGACACCAGTTAAATCTCTCTGCCTTCTCTTTTGAAGTTGCCTCCTTACCTGTACTGTTTTGAGCCAGCAATAAAAATTCTCTCTGAAAAGGTAGGACTGAACTCTTGGCTGTTCTCACCTGTTTGAAGGGGGTGGGGGAAAGGGAAGAGAAAGAACAGGTGTTCAACACTTAGGTGAGTTAATGTTAACAGAAAATAAACACTTAGGTCAAGGCATGAAAAGTTTTACAGCAACCAAGCTGCAGTGAAATAAGCAGCTGTAGCCTAGGCCCTGTAACACTGTCTTCCCTTTCCTTTGGCCACTTGACCTCTTCTTCCACTGCCTGCTTCCTGAATCCTCTTCTCCCACATAACCGCCACATAACTCCTCCTTTTGGGTTTTCCTTCTCTTGACTAAATCTTACTGACTCTTTTCACATTGAGGCCTTAGCTGCAAAAAATTTAAGAAATCATTTTCCAGTCCAATTCTCTCTTTATTACAGATGAGGAAAGTAAGTCCTAAGAAGCAGGGAGTAACTTGCCCCGGCAGTAGAGACAGGATTTTATGCCAGGTCTTATTCCTCATCTCTTCAGATGTGACTCTTTGGCTTCCCCCACATTCTCACATCTCTAGACACCAATCAGAGGTGTCTAAAAGCATTCTGCAAACCTTAAGGTGCTATCTAAATGTGAGCTCTTATTACAAATTGGAAGTGGAGTGGGCAGAAGGATTGTTTACCTGTGATGACAACTTGCCCTGGCCAAAGACCCCACCCAAATATTTCCCTGGTAGCAGCAATGTCAGCTGAGGCCTTGAGAGGCAACTTGTGTCTAGCTCTGCTCCTCAGGGAGCCAATATTACTGTTGTCCTCTCCGAATTTACTCCTTTCCCAGGAAGGAAGATGATGATAGCAGTAAAAGGAAGAGGGCACAGGCCTCACAAATACTACTTTTGTTTTATACCAGTCTAGCAGGGCCTGAGAGCTGGGTTATGAATTCATGGGAGGTGAGGGATGGACCTACCCAATAGGTGAAGGGTCAAAGGGTACAGTCAAAAAGAGGGTCTTCAAGGAAATCTGCCCTCTTCCACATCATAAATCACAGATATTGATATGCCACAGGCATGACTTCTCACTACTGCTTTTTGAGTCATCTGTGTTTCTTGCCATACATGAGGCTTCTTCCCTTTGCTGAGTGGCACAAATTACTATGTTTTTCTTTCTCCTTACTACAACACTCAGAGAGGGTATATATGTGACAGCTATTTGCAAGATGTTAGGTAGCTGATGAAATCTTGTAAACCTCCCACCAGAAGTGGGACTTATATCTTGGGAGAGGCTCCCCAACTACACAACCCACTGAGGGAATAAGGAAGAATGAGGCAGAAATTCATCGTCTCTTGACGGTTAAAGCAAGATGCAGATTCAGATCTGCAGAGATGATGAAAAGGTATTGTTCTCTCTCCCTCCTTAGGTCAAGAGCACTGGGCCGGATCACCACTTACATTCTGCCTGGGCAATGATGGAGATAGAGGCCGATCCTCCTTCCATGCCTTCCTTGGCCGTCCCTTTGGTGATTACATCGTTCAGGATTTCCCATTGCCCACAGAAAACCCGGTTCTTTTCCACAGTTTCAAGCTTGCAGACAGAGCTGGACTTCTTGGCTGGAATCTGGCTCTTTCCCTTGGCAAGCTCCTTCTGGTGCCCAATATCTGAGTCTGGTGCACTTTGGCACATAATCTCCATCACTGCCATCTCATAGGTTCACTGAGACCCTGAGGGAAACCAAATCACATGTTGAAAATTCTCTAATTCATTTATAATGTAATATTTTGAATTACTGTTATATTGTATTTTGGTCTTAGGCTATACTTTTCACGAAGGTAGAGACAATGCTTTAGCTAAACTTTTGTCCTTTATTCTTTTTTTTTTTTTGGTGAGACAATCGGGGTTAAGTGACTTGCCTAGGGTCACACAGCTAGTAAGTGTCAAGTGTCTAAGGCCGGATTTGAACTCAGGTCCTCCTGACTCCAAGGCCGGAGCTCTAACTTTTTACTGTCCTCTTCATCTCAGAAAAGTATTTTATACACAGTGGCAGTTAAATGTGTGTTGAATAAATTTGATCAATACCAAGGAAGAAAATGGACTGGACTGAAGACAGGGCAAGGTCAGAAAAGGAAAACATCAGGAAAATAAAAGTGAGGTTTTTTTCTCTTTTCATGCCATATGCCATACGTCAAGGCCCAGCCCAAATACCATTTCTTCCATGAATGCCCTTCTTGTCCTAAACTCCCCCCAGCCATGAACATCAGAGCGCTTTGTACCCTTCTTAGGATACTGTTGCACTATTCCTTGTTTTACTATTATCATTACCCCTCTAATGGCTCCTTCATGCTATTCTGTGTAGTACAGATATCAATGTATTTGTCATATCCTTTATAGGCTATGAATTCCTAGGGGGCTGGAACTATGTCTTACTCATTTTTGCATACCCTAGGGTGCCTTGTACACAAAAGGTACTCAGAAATATTGTTTGAATATGCATATATATACACACACACACACACATATACATATACATATTAAAATATGGAAATATATTATTATATATTATATATAAAATAAAAAAAGGAAAAAATCTCTCACTTGACCTTTTGTGAAGTTTCTTGGTAATATCCTCCATACACATAATTTATCAGCAAGGTTTTTGCATCAAACACACACATGATAATTTTTAAATCCATCTATACCTCTCCCCAATAAAAAAAGAATTCAACTTTGCTCCTCTCATATTAAAAATACAAAGGCCCTACTTGAATTATCCCTGTCCTCAAGGAGCTTACTTACATTCTATTAGAAGAGTCAACATGTGTACATATGAGAATAAATAAAACAAATTTGAGGCATTTTCATAGGGGGAGGTACTAGTAGTTGGGTAGGTGGGGAAATCATAAAAATTCTCTTGTAGGAGGTGGGTTTGAGCTGAACTTTGAAAGAAACTTGGGGATTCTAATGGGTAAAGGTAAGGAGGAAGACTGAGAGGGACTGCATGTGCAAAGGTATGGAGACAGGGGGCAGAATGATGTGTGGAGCACAAAGAAGGCCAGCTTGGCTAGACCAGGGGTGGGGAACCTGCAGCCTTGAGGCCACATGTGGCCTTTTAGATCCTTGGGTGAGGCCTTTCAACTGAGTCTAAGTTTTACAGAACAAATCTTTTTTTTTTTTTAAAAGCAATTGGGGTTAAGTGACTTGCCTAGGGTCACACAGCTAGTAAGTGCCAAGTGTTTTAGTCCGAGGCCACATTTGAACTCAGGTCCTCCTGACTTCAGGTCCGGTGCTCTATCCACTGCGCCACCTAGCTGCCCCTAACAAATCTTTTTATTAAGGAGATTTGTTCTATGAAGTTTGGATTCAGTCAAAGGGCCATACTTGAGGGCCTAGAGGGCCACATGTAGCCTGGAGGTTGCTTGTTCCCCACTCCTGGGCTAGACCATAGTTTCTGAAGGGGACTAGGTTGGAAAGGTAGACTGGAGTCTGGCTGTGAAGGGCTTGAAATGCCAAACAGAGGCATTTTATTTCATTCTAGAGGCAATGGGGAACCACTAGTTCATTAGGCAGGAAAGTGACAAGAATATCAATTTGGCAACTGGGCAAAGAACAAATAGGAGAAGGCGGAAACTTAAGGTAGAGAAAACAATTGAGGCTATTGTCCCAGTCACCACAAAAAAAAAAAAGAGAGGCTGTTGTAATAATCTAGGTGAGAGGTGATGAGTGCCTGAACTCGGGTGGTACCATTTGAATACAGAGAAGGGAATGGATTTAGAGATGTTTGCTATGTGGGGTAAGGGAGGGTAAGGAGTCAAGGCTGAAAACCTAGACAACTTTGAGAGCTATGGAAATTTAGAAGAGGGATGGGTTTCGGTGACAAGACAAGTTGCTTTAGCCATAGAAATTAGGGATGGAAGTTGATAATGAACCCCCATGGGTTGCGATGGGGTCATCAAGAGAGACTATAGACAGAGAGGAGAAAAGAGCCCAGGGCAGAGCTTTGGGAAGGGTCGGTGAGCTACACTCATATTTAGGGGGCTGGATATGGATAATGATTCAGCAATGGCATCTGAGGAGTGGTCAGGCAGATAGGAGAACCAAGAGGGAGCAGTGGTATGAATACCCACTGAAGAGAGTTTCCAGAAAGAGAGGGTAGTCAGCAGTATCAGATGCTACATATGTTGCGGTCAAAAAAGATAAGCATAGAGAGAAGGCTATAGACCATCTGATTTAGCCATTAAGAGATCATTGGTAACTTTGGAGAGAGCAGTTTTAGTTGGGTGATGAGGTCAGAAGTAAGATTACAAGGGGCTGAGGAATGAAGCATAGGAGAAAAATAGAGGAAATATGTGCAGACTGCTAGACTGGATCTTTCTCTGTTAATATGGCTGGGGTTCTTGGTTTCAAATATTTTTGTCTAACAAAAAGGTTTCTGGTCATACATAGAGGAGGATGTTAGACACACAGATATAATCAGTAGTGATCCCCATACCCATTTGTCACCTGCTTGAGACACGGAGTGCCTTACCTATTCTTAGGTTTAGTTCACAGCAGATTATTATCCTTTTAAAAACATGAGAAATAATCAGATTTTTTTTTTTTTTAGTGTTCTAACAGTGACCACAAAAAAGTATTACATTCTGGATGTAAATTGCTATATGCCAAGCTAGAGGCTTAGATCTTAGTTTCCCAGGATGCATCATGGCTTTGTGGCTCTCTAGAAACAACTGGCATGCTTCCTACTGTAATATTTGTATGGAATTGCTTTTTAAAAATTCAAGAACACTTCTAAACATTCAGATTCAGAAAACAGCAGTGGCTGAAGTTGTTTCATTGTCTGTCCACCCTGACCCCAATCCTCTCCAAATACCAGCTACTACTGATCAAAATATGAAAGGAAGAAACAAAAGTTCATCTTTTTCCTGGCCACCTTCTCTCCTGTAACCAAAGGAGCCCATTAATAGAGGGCTTGACCCTGCTGTAATTTTGTGTAAACAACTAAGCCACTCTGCAATAAAACAATCACAAAATATTGGTCCGTATTACTTTTTTTTTTTTTGCGAGGCAATTGGGGTTAAGTGACTTGCCCAGGATCACACAGCTAGTGAGTATCATGTGTCTGAGGCCAGTAAATTTTTTATGTCTTTTTTTTTTTTTGGTGAGTCAATTGGAGTTAAATCCGTATTACTTTTAAAGCTTTTAAAGGCAATTGTACCCCTGACTATACCAAGATTTTTTTTATTCATTGCATAATAACAAGGTATCAAATGCAGACAGTTATTCACTGAAAGTAAAATTTTTTTAGGTGGTTTAAGGTAAGAGTTAATTGGAACAAAGAAAATGACAGCCTTCTCTAACTTCTCTCAGTTTACTTTACTCCATGGGCCATCAGCAGTTAAGGACACAGCATGTACTCCGTCCCTTTTCAGGTAAGTATGCTTAGTTTCCCCAGACTGGAATTATGTTTGTCCTTCATTCTGAAGACAACACGAGAGTGGTACCTTGACTTGCTTGTGAACTGGATTTACGTGAGGCAGAGCTGCCCTCTTTTAGATCCACCCACCGCACGGCAACTGGTACAATATAGCTTCCCCCTACACTGCAGACCCTTGACTCAAACTGTTGACTAACTGCTAATATATATGTATACATGTCTATATCTACCTCTATATAACCACACACATACAGATATCAGCAATCATATATTAAGCCCTTATTGTGTGCCAAGCACTGTGTTAAGTACTGGGGATACAAGGAAAGCCAAAACACAGTCCTTGTCCTCAATGAGCCCACATTCTAATTGGGGAACACGCAAATAACTATGTACATACAAGATACAGACATTGCAAATCAGACATAATCTCAGATGAAGGCAGTAGTAGGTAAGGGGAAGACTGTGAAGGAAGCCAGGAGGTAGAGCATTCCAGGCATGATAAAAAGGCCAGAGAAAAGGTACAGAGCTGGGGGATGGAGTGTCATATGTCAGGAACAGCAAGATATCAGTGTAGCTGGATAACAGAGTACATGGAATAAAGTATAAGAAGACTGGAAAAGTTGGACAGGGTTAGTTTGTGCAGGACTTTAAAAGTGAAACCGGATTTTCTATTTGACTCTGGAAGTAATAGGGAACCACTGAAGTTTAGTGAGCAGGGAGAGAGGAGGTGACATGGTCAGATCTGAGCGTTAGGAAGATGACTCTGGCTGCTAGGTGGAGGATGGACTGGACTGGGGAAACACTGGGCAACGGACCAAGCAGAAGGTGACTGCGATGTTCCTGCTGTGAGGTGACAGCTAGATGTTACACATAGGTTGGGAAATACCTTTAGTGATCACCTCATTCAAATTTCTCATTTTTCAGATGATTAAAAAGAGGTCCAAGGAGCTAAAGTGTCTTTTGTCTTCTAACCCACTGTTATTTACCCACTGCTACTTCCTTCTTTGGGTTTTTTATTTTGCAAAGAGAATGGAAGGACTGATTATTTTTCACATGGGATTTTTATTTTTTATTACAAACTTGACAAACACTAACAAACACAAACATTTCCTTTTACAAAGGATAGAAAAAGGATATTATTCATGCCACTGTGAACCTCTATTACAGGCAGCTTAAAAAAAAAACTGATTGAAGTAGGTAGTCCTAACACTGATCTGCTTATCTGTGCACATGGTGTTTTTCAGTGTTTTAGAAAGATGACCCTCAACATCAAATATACAAAAGATACCTGCT